TTCAGAACTTAATCTACAAACTCATTCATTCATCAATAAAACTATAGGGTTTTGGCGGAGCAGTGCCACAGTGTAGCAGAAAATCTTGTGCACAATTCGAATGGTTATGAGGTTGTCCATACAGATGAGTCACTTTCAGTAGGTGGAAAGGTGAATTTTAGAGTGAACGATAAAGAACTAGCATCGTGTAGGGTCCCTTTGTCTACTGGTGTATTAGGTGGAAAGGAAATAGGATTGGGCATTGTTGAAAGCTGTCAAATTCTGTTTTGGAAATTTAACAGCTTTGACCACTTTAGTTGGTTTTGTTTGTTTTTTTATTACTCTCTCATGTGTATATATACATTATTGTAATCCCAATTCATAGTTAATGCCAATTTAGTGATTCATCCAATATTACTCTCTTTCTCTCAATTCATCTTCTTTCTAAGTTTCTTTTCACCATTGTTACTACCTTCAAAATTCTGGTTTTATATTTTATGTTGTTCTAACATTTGGCATCAAGAGCTCCGGTTATTGATCCTAATCCGCTGCAACAATGGCTACAGTTTCTAATGATCGAATTTCCACCAATCTCCCAATTCTTGATTCGAAGAACTACGAAAAATGGGCGAAACAAATGAAGGTTTTGTTTGGTTATCAAGAGGTTCTTGAGATCGTCATCAATGGAGTTACATCGTTAGGGGCAGATGCTACCGAAGCTATTAGAGCTACACACAAGAAAGAAAAGAAGAAGAATTACAAAGCCCTATTCTTGATTCACTCTTGTGTTGATAACGATAATTTCGAGAAGGTTGGCGATTGTGAATCCGCGAAGCAAGCATGAGAAATCTTGGAGAAAGCATATGTCGGTGCCGTCAAAGCGAAGGTGGTAAGGTTACAAACTTACAAACGTCAATTTGAGCTAACGCAAATGGAGGAAAAAGAAACGATCAATGATTACATTACGCGTATTACCCGGTTAGTCAACCAAATCAAGTCATGTGGCGAAATGATTCTTGAGCAGAATGTTGTATCAAAAGTGTTGCGTTCGTTAACATCACGGTTCGATAACATTGTTGTGGCTATTGAAGAGTCAAAGGATCTAACAAATTTGAGCAAAGATGAGTTGCAAAGTTTGTTAGAAGCGCATGAACAAAGGACGGATGAGAGAGGTGCCGATAAAGCCAAAGCGGAGATCGCTTTGCAAGCGCGTTTACATGAGAAGAGCAAGAGAATAAAAGGGAAGTGGTCTTCAAAGAGTAAGAAGAATTTTGGTGGAAAAGACCCACAAAATTTGAAGGGTGAAGGAAGCTCCAAAGAGGGTAATCAAAGTTCCTATAAACCGTTTGACAAAAGTTCTGTGAAGTGTTATAATTGTCAAAAGCTTGGGCATTTTGCGAAAGAATGTCGCTCAAAACACAAAGAAAAAGATGTGGATAAGGCTAAGGTTGCTATGGAAGAGGTAGATGATGAAGATACCCTTCTTGTGATGATTACGGAGGAGAATTATGGAATTGTTGATGCTCTAGGAAGCAGCTACTGTGGTGATAGTTTGCGGGACAGCAGCTGTACTATTTTGGAAAGTGGTGGAAAAATGCGCTCGGATCGAAATGCATTACTTACCATGCGTGATGGAGTTCAAAGTAAAGATGAGTGTACTTGGATTCTGGTTATTCAACACATATGACGGGTCGGAAGGATTGGTTTGTGGAAATCAATCAAGCGGAAAAGAGTAAAGTCAAGTTTGCCGATGACACCACTTTAAGCGCCAAAGGGGTAGGAGATGTTTTAATCAGAAGGAAGAATGATGGACATTCAAGGACCAAAGATGTCTTGTACATACCGGGAATTAAGTTCAATCTTTTGAGCATTGGCCAATTACTTGAAAAAGGGTACTTAATTCGGTTGGAGAACAAGATGTTATGCGTTTTAGATTCAAGTGGTGTGTTGATTCTAAAAGTGTCGATGGCTGCCAATAGAACTTTTAAGGTTGAGTTAAAGGTTATGGAGCATCGTTGTTTAGCTACCGCAGAAAGTAGAGATGAGTGGTTATGGCATTACCGTCTTGGTCACCTAAATTTTAGGGATCTCAAAATGTTGCAACAAAGTGAAATGGTAATGGGGCTGCCACATATTAGTGTTCCGACAGAATTGTGTGAGGAATGTGTGAAGAGTAAGCAACATAAGAATGTGTTTAGCAAGGATGCGGGTCGAAGAACCAAAGGCTTACTTGAGTAGGTGTATTCCGATGTTTGTGGATCGATGCAAGTAGAGACTTATGATGGCAATCGATATTTTGTTACATTCATGACGACTTTAGTAGGAAGCTTTGGACATATCTTATCAAGAGGAAGGATGAGGTATTTGGAGTGTTCAAGAGTTTCAAATCCATGGTGGAGCGTCAAAGTGGTCGGAAGCTCAAAATTCTCAAAACGGATGATGGAGGTGAATATACCTCTAGTGAGTTTGAGAAGTTTTGTGATCTTGAGGGTATTGTGCGTGAGGCGGTGCCTCCATATACACCTCAACAAAACGGAGCTGCCGAGAGGAAAAATCGTACAATAATGAACATGGTGCGTAGTATGCTTTGAGGGAAGAAGTTGCCTAAGGAATTGTGGGGTGAGGCCGTGTCTACAACCACCTACTTGTTGAATAGGTATCCTACTAAGAAGTTAGAGAAGATCACACCAGAAGAGGTTTGGAGTGGTTTCAAACCGAGTGTGAATCATTTACGCATTTTTGGATCGATTGCATATCGTCATGTACCGAATCAACTTAGAAAGAAGTTGGATGATAAAGGTGAGAAGTTGATATTTGTTGGATATCACTCTACTGAAGGTTACAAGCTATTTGATGAGAAGAATCGGAAAATCGTGATAACCCGGGATGTATTTTTGGAAGAAATAAAAGCTACTGAAACAGTAGGACAGCGTCAGCAGTTCTTCGAGTTGTCTGATCCGGAGGGTTCCGATGCCGTTGTACCTGCACCTACAGTAGCGGAAAATGTTGTAGTGAATAATGGTAGACTAGTGAGGCAAAGAGCCTTGCCTCATAGACTACGAGACTACGAGAGGTTCCAAGATAACGAAGTGAATAATGATGGTGATTTTGTTCATTTCGCGCTTATGGCCGAATCTGAACCGGTAAATGAGGAGGAAGCCTTAAGCAATCCTAAATGGATATGTGCAATGAAAGAGGAGCTGGAATCTATTGAGAAAAATTGTACTTAGGAGTTGGTTGATTTACCACTTGGAAAGAAACCGATAGGTGTGCGATGGGTCTATAAAGTTAAAGCAAATCCTAAAGGTGAAGTAATCAAGCACAAAGCTCGATTAGTGGTGAAAGGGTTCTTGCAACGTGAAGGTATAGATTACGAGGAGGTATTCGCATCGGTGGCTAAATTGGAGACTATTCGTTTGGTTGTTGGGATTGCGCATAGCAACAATTGGGTGATTTACCAAATGGATGTAAACTCTGCATTTTTGAATGATCCTCTAGATTAGGAAGTTTATGTGGGGAAGCCACCCGGTTTCATGATTAAAAATCAAGTGAGGAGGTATTACAAGCTACACAAGGCGTTGTATGGTTTGAAACAAGCTCCAAGAGCTTGGAACAAACGTATAGACGACTTTCTTGTTGACATCGGTTTCAAATGATGTGTATCCGAACATGGTGTTTATGTGAGATCGGATAATATTTATGGTGTTATTATACTATGCTTGTATGTTGATGATCTCTTTATTACGGGCATCAATGACAAGAGTACTTCAAGGTTCAAAGGGGAGCTCATGAGTGAGTTTGAGATGACGAACCTTGGTGTCATGAGATACTTTCTTGGCATAAAGTTCCACAAGTCAAAAGTTGGGTTGCTTATGCATCAAAGAAGGTATGCTCTAGATATCTTGAAAAAGTGTGAAATGGAGCATTTTAATGCTTCTAATACACCTTGTGAGGCTAGAGTTCAGTTGCCCAAAAGTGATGATGAGGATGATGTGGATCCAACACTTTATCGGAGTTTAATTAGATCGTTATGGTATTTGTGCAATACTCGACCAGACTTGGTTTTTAGTGCCGGTATTGCGAGTAGATTCATGGAGAGACCTAAGGTGTCTCATTTGGTGGCGGTCAAGAGAATCCTTAGATATGTGAAAGGTACTCTTGGTTGTGGTATTTTATTTCCCACATCGGATATGGGTCGCAAATGTACTTTACTTGGCTACACCGGTTCTAATTGGTGCGGAGATAAAGATGATCGGAAATCTAAGGCGGGTTACATCTTTATGTTCGGTAGTACACCAATCTCATGGTGTTCGAAGAAGGAACCGGTTGTAGCTCTCTCTTCTTGTGAGGTCGAGTACATTGCGGCATCATTGAGTGCTTTCGAAGCTATGTGGTTAGTGAATCTCATGAAGGAATTGGGATGTGATGATGATGATGCCACCACACTGTTTGTGGATAATGTTTCCGCGATAAATCTTGCGAAGAATCCGATTGCACACGGAAGGAGCAAGCATATTGAGATGCAGTTTCATTACTTGAAGCTATTGCCGAAGCGAGGACCAAGTTGCAGATTTGCTGACAAAGGGTGTGAGAAATGATGTGTTCAAGAGACTGTTGAAGAGCTTGAGCATGATGAATTTGGAGCAACTAAAGTGAGGTGGTGTGTTGAAAGTTGTCAAATTATGTTTTGGAAATTTAACAACTTTGGCCACTTTAGTTGGTTTTGTTTGTTTTTTGATTACTCTCTCATGTGTATATATACATTGTTGTAATCTCAATTCATAGTTAATGCCAATTTAGTGATTCATCCAATATTACTCTCTTCTTTATTCTCTATTTCTCTCAATTCATCTTCTTTCTAAGTTTCTTTTCACCATTGTTACTACCTTCAAAATTCTGATTTTATGTTTTATGTTGTTCTAACAGGCATTAATAGAGGTTTGGGTTCGAATAGAGGTTTAGACCATGCACTTTGTGAGAAATGGTTGAGATGGATGAAAGGTGGAGCGTGTAATAACTTCATGTCTGTTATTGTAAACGGAGAGACTACAAAAGATTTTAAAGAGACAAGGGGGTTAAGACAAGGTGACCCCTTGTCTCCTTTCTTGTTTGCAATTGTGGCAGAGAGTTTAGCTTTCTTAGTTCGTAGGGTTGCAATACAAGGGTTGTTTCATAGATTCAGACTGAATGAGGTTGAAGATATCAGTCTTGTCCAATTTGTCGACAACACCGTCCTCATTTGTGAAGCTGATTGAGATAAGTTATGGGGCATAAAAGCCATTCTTAAAGGCTTTAAACTTATTTCGGGACTACGTATTAACTTTTGGAAGAGCTGTATTTACGGAGTGTGTGTAGATAACGCATTTCTAAATGCTTCAGTGTGGTTTATGTTGTGTAGACAAGAAAGTATTCCTTTAAATTTCCTTGGTCTACAAGAGGTATGGAATCATAAAAGGTACAAGTTTTTGAAACTAGTTATTGAGTGTTTTAAAGTAAGGCTACCAACTTGGCACGGAAGGTTGTTATCCATGGGAGGTCGGATTACATTAGTAAACTCTGCTCTTACTAACCTACCAATACATCATATGTCATTTTATCAAGCACCTGTTAAAGTAATCAAGGAATTGATTTCGACTCAAAGACGGTTCTTATGGTCGAGTTTGTTGGAGGTTTCGTCTATGGTGTGGGTGAGTCTGAAAGATATATGTAAACCTAAGGAGTTGGTAGGATTAGAAATAAAAGATATTGCACTCTTCAATAGGGCGCTATTGACTAAATGGGTGTGGAGAATTATATGTGACGATGATTCAATTTGGAAATCAATTTTATCTAATAAATATGGCTGCTACAAAATAACTTTCTATCTACTGTAGTATGTTGGTAACGCTTATAGTCGATCATTATGGTGGCGAGATCTGTTGAAGATTGGGTTGTCATTAAAAATTGATTTATTTTTTAGCCAAGTTTCACGCAGAGTGGGAGATGGTTCTTGTGTTTCCTTTTGGCATGCTAGATGGATAGATGTTGTTCCTCTTCGCATCAGATTTTCAGACTTGTACGAGATGTCAAACTTGAAATTTGTATCTGTTGTAGAGCATGGTGGCTAGACACAGGCTGGTTGGCATTGGAATTTGGGATATCAATTCCACAACTGGTGGGAGGCGTTGTTCGTGCAACATGATGAGTTGATGTTGTTGCTGCAGAAGAGGCTACCTACGTTGGGTGCATTGGATGGCCCAACTCTATTAATAATTTGTTTTCCGTTAAAACATGCTACGATTTTCTTCTTCATGTCAATTTAATCGATGAGATAGAAATTAACTCCAAGACTGTTCTTGAAATCTTGTGACAATGCATGATTCCGATGAAGGTCAAACTGTTTGGATGACTTCTTTTATTGGATAGATTACCGACACGTTCCAATCTCGTGGCCAGGGCAGTAATTTTCGATCCCTATAATATTGTTTGCGTTTTTTGTTTTAATTAGATTGAAACTATTGACCACATCATGATTACTTGTCCAAAGATTAGGGTAGTTTAGAAAGCAATTTCGGACTGGATCGGAGTTCCATGGATAGAATCACAGAACTGTATAAACCATTTGACGGAGTGGTTCATCTGGTTGGTTCCTCGTACGTCTAAAAAAACAACGACATTAATATGGTTCTGTTCTTGTTGGAGTTTTTGGTGGGTAAGAAAATAAATCATCTTTAATGATGATGTTACTTGTGATATAGATTTAATTCATAGAATCATGAATATGTCTTAATTGAGATTAACTATAAGATCATCCAAGGTTATTGCTTGTTCATTTTATGATTGGACTAAACATCTTCTTGATTTTTTATGATGGTTGTTGTATTTGAAGTTAGTTTGCACTCATTATTTATTAGTACTCCAATAGTGTAATGGTAATGTATGGGATTGCATCTTGCTCCCCTACACTTTTGTTTTGAATGAAATTTACTTATAAAAAAAAAATACAAAGATTGACTTCTGTATTTTTTTTAATAAAATAAAGGTGACTCACATATTAAATATTTTTAAGGTGTATGTTTGAACATTCCAAAATTACCTTTCATATTATTCCAAAAAACACTTTTAAATTTCATAAAGAAACTCTTCACCATAAAAACAACCTTTACCTATATCAATAGAAAGACAAATGCACTTTGTGTGTTGTGTGCAATGGACTATTCCTTTGTTTAAGTGTGTTTCCTACCTCCACTAAAATAAACTTTGTAAGAAGTATCATTAATTAAATTCCAAAACTTGCACAAAAGGTATTGATAACATCACCCACCCACCACTAAGGGCCTTTCTTTTCTCCAAGTACTTCTCCATTAATTATTTTATCTTCTTTGCATTTAATTAAATGTATTATTTTATTACTAAGCTTCAGTCCAGGTTTTCTAAATTGCTGTTTTTGCATCAAACTTTAAGTGTTAAAATACAATTTGCATTCTATATCCAATTGCATCTTTTTAAAACTTGTTGATGACTAAATTAACTCGTTTTTTATTTTCTCAACTGGACCACCACTTGCCTATATAACGACACTATGGGTCCGACACAATGGGCAAATTTGTATGTTTTTTTTTTAAATTAATTCTTATAATGATATATGTTTTTGTTAAAAAAAATTTATAAATGTTTTTTGAAAAAAATTCAAATAAAAAATTGGTTGAAATTATTTTTCATAAAATATCATGTATAATATTTTATTTCTTAATATAATTTTGTTGATATAAAATTTTAAAATATCTCTTAAATTTGAAACTATTTTGAATAATTTTTCATACAAATTATTTTGAAATACTCTTTTTTGATATATTTATATTACAGGATGACAATATTAGTCTTTCAAATTATAAAAATAATTTTTAAAAAAAAAGCTTTTATTATTTTACTTTATAGAAATTATTTTAAAAAATAAATAAAATCTATTTTTTAAAGATAAAACGGTCTATATTTATGAAAAATCAGAAACCAACGTTTCCGAAACGTATTTGCTACATGCAACATAAGAAATACACACCTTGTACCTTTCACCTTTCACAAAAAAAAGATAAAGAGAGGATGTTGATTTAAATTCATATTTAAAATGAGGATTTCATGAGGTAATCTAAAGAGTTCAAAACAAACTCATACAATAAACGGTAGTCAAATTAGCAAAGCATTGCTTTATGCATTCAATGGCACAAGTGCATCAATTTAGTGGATTTTGTGGATAAGTCTAAATAAGGCCGTCTCATTTTTAAGATAAGATATTGAAAAATTATATGACTTTGATAGTTGAAGTATATGCTTACTAAATTTGATATTATCGAAAAGTGGAGATTTTGGATGAGAGTTAATTTGTGCGTTTTCAAGAAAACTCGTAATATTGGTGAATGGTTTTGTGTCCAAAGAGATCAATATTCATATGGATTTGAAACAAGGTGACCCTTTAGCCTTGTTCTTCATTCTATTGGTGGATGAAGACTTAAGTGAATTATTTAGGAGTGCGGTGAATTTTTATCTCTTCTCTTAGATTAAGATAGGTTCATTATATCTAGTGATCTCTCATCTTCGGGATGCGCATGACACTCTTATCTTGGCTAAAGTCACCGTGGAAACTTTGGCTGATTAAGGCAATTCTCTAAGGGTTCGAACTTTTTTCAAGCATACGTATTAATTTTGCCAAAAGCAATCTTATTAGGATTAATGTTGATCATGTTCTCTTAGATTCTTATGGTTTTTTCTTTATTATAAACAATAGTCTCTTCCTTTCAAGTATCTTAGCTTAGAGGTTGGGCTAACCCTTGCCTTCAAACTACTTGAAAATCTCTAGTTAAATTTGTCTCTAAGTGGCTTCCGTTCTTGGAGACATAGATTTGTTAGTCTGGATGGTAGACCCATTCCCCTTAACTTGGTTCACATGTTATTCAATTTTTTTATTATATTTTCTTTAAATGTATGTTAAGATTTGAAATAAATACTTAACATTCAGAGGAGATTCCTGTGGGGGAGGGGGTGGTGAGAATTCTAAGATCTTGTAGGTTAGATGGTATGATGCGTATAAACCTAAAAGAAAAGGTGGTTTAGGGATTCACGGTCTCCACCTTATGAGTGTGGATCTCCTAAGAAAATTGTGGTGAAAACTGATCTAGAATGTTACTCGGCTTTGGGACAATATCTTATATAATGATGAATGGATTGGTAGTGATAAGTTTTTATTATATTTGATATACAAGGTGGTTAAAGCAAATTTCGTTGTGAGGTTTTTAAAAATAAATAAATAATATGAAGGATGATTAAACCAAATTCTATTGTGAGGTTTTTAAAAATAAATAAAGAAATAGACAGTGTTAAAGTTTTGAGTTTATACCGATAAGACTATAGATATTTTTTTACCAATTAAATTTAAGAAATATTTAAAATAATGTAATAGATTATATATTGAAATGGGGATTATTTTATTGGGCCTAAAAGGGAATGATCCTTGATAAAACAACTTAGACTAAGTGTGTTAATGGGGAGAGTGTCCAAGTCAGGGTTGATCGCTTGAAGCGTAATACATGTCACTCGATAGGGTATGGGCATGAAGCCCATGATCTGCCTCATCAAACATATGTGGCATGTAAGTCACCAACAAAGAATAACGGTCTGCAAAGGTCAGGCAAAGGAAAAACCACCTCTTCCACATTTTGAGGGAGAATTGGTCTCCGTCTATTCCCACATTAATAATGAGAGAGAAGGGAACAATTTTCCAATAAATTTTGTCCCATGGGTCCACTATAAGTATCCCTACCTCAAAACCGAAAAAGGTGGTTCATTGATTTTCCTAAAATTAGTATACATGGTCTCTTGTGACCTACGTAGACATATTCTTTTCATCATTATTTTTCTTTTAACAAGTACAATTAACTCCCACCATGGGGTTACGGTAAATCTGACATAGGACACACTCACCTTCAGTTCATAAGCCTCCTCAACCATCTTCTTAACATGATGACAAAATGGGGACACTTGAATTCCACCAAATTAGCCACGTCCATTCATACCATATAAGAGGGGTTTACTGGAGGTAGATAATCTAACTCCTATCGTAAGAGATACGCTCATTCTGTTGTTAGAGGGACCACCTACTAGCCCATGAAAATGACCCCATGGGCTAGTAGGTGGTCAAAAATCGGGATTGTTTTCTCTAGAAAAGACGTTGTTGGCACCCGTCCTCATGAAAATGACCCCGTGGTTAAAATGGTGATGTTCG